TCACTTTCAAGTAGTTCAATGCGCGTGCATATTAGAATAATTGGCATGTGTTTCATAGTTCCAGCACCTAATTATTCATAGGGTGGGCACCCAGGAAAGGTGAGCTAGGTACCTTAGAGGCTTCCCTGAGGGTCCTCTAAAAGCCGGACTCCGGACTCCGGAGAGCTAAGCTTCTGCTCCTGAGGTGGAAGGCGAAGGCCCACACCCTCGCCACCCTGCCTCCAGGCTGCACAGAGAGGAGGAACTGACAGACCAGCCGGCCCTCGGTCATCCTGAGCTTTGACAGCTCATCAGCCATGTTTTCTGTCTTCACAGAAGAGAGAAGATTGGGTAAAGCCGTCTCAATACTTAGATTCCTTACAGAAAAGGAAGTAGCGCCGAGCTGCCAATGACCGTCTACCCTCACCTGAAGGGCAGTGTGAGCTGCCAATGACCGTCTACCCTCACCTGAAGGGCAGTGTGAGCTGCAGGTGCTCCGTCTACCCTCACCTGAAGCGCAGTGTGTGTAGATGAGCCTCAGCAGACACCCCAGGGAGCCAGGCCTGCTACGCAGATTACCTCTGGCACATTCGGATCGCACGGGGGGCGGGGGGTAGATACACCTCAAAGGTGCAGGAGGTGGGGAAGGCCGACTGGCGTTCATGTGTATCTGGTGGCTGAGAGGCCACGGTACCCCAACCCGGATCCAGACTGGGATGGCCTTCTGAGAAGTTGTTGGGGTGTGAAACTGTACACGTGGCTTATGGATGGAGAGACTCGTTCAGAAAAGCCAGACTGGCCATCCCACATGCCGACCCAGCCACTCGGGGCCACCTCGCAGGGAGGCGGCCTAGCGCGACTAGCCAGCCCGAGGCCTTCCGGGTCCCGGGCCTCAGCCCCGGCGGCCCCCCTGGAGAGGTCAGAGATGGCGGTGTGAGAAGGCCCATGCGGATGGCAGGTGGGGGCCGGGCCGCCGGCCAGGGGACACTGCTGCAGGGCCCGGGGGGCCACCCAACAGGCCTCGGCAGGCACAGGCCCCAGCAGCCACAGGCCCCAGCAGCATAGTCACTGACCCCCCGCTGAACTGCAGTATTTCACTTATTCAATGGTATTGTCACTTGTTATCAGATGCTTGGGGTGTTGTTTTGTTTTCATTTATTTAGACATTTTAGTTGTTTGTGGTGACAGAAAACATAAGACCCAACTCAAGCTTTTGCAAGAAGACATTTTGCTGGTTATCGTCATGAGAACATCCAGTGGGAAACAGTTCCTCTGTCATCGTCATGAGGACGCCCAGCGGGCATGGTTCAGTCATGTCTGCCTGTCCCTCTGAGATCGTCACGAGGGTGCCCAGTGGGCACAGTTCGGCCATGTCTGACTGTTCTCTGTGGTGCTCTTGGCTCTGCCCTTGCCTGAGGGCTGGCTATCCCTCATCCTCATGGCAAACTTCCTCCTGGTCACAAGGTGGCTGCGTGAAGCAACGGAGGCTGCCTGTTCTCCCATGTCTGCCCAAAGAATGTGAACAACCCACAACCTCCAGTCAAGGTTCCGGAGCTCTGTGCAGAGGGTGGTCACGATAGAGTGGCACCTAGGTCTGCACCCGGGACGCACGCTCACCACCGAGCCAGGACCCGTGGTCGGTGCTGTCGAGTGTCCCTGTAGGTCCTCACCCGGGACGCACACTCACCGCCGAGCCGGGATCCTTGGTCGGTGCTGTCGAGTGTCCCTGTAAGGTCCTCACCCGGGACGCACGCTCACCACCGAGCTGGGAACCGCGCTGAGTGCTGTCGAGTGTCCCGGAGCTGGCTGTGGGGTCCGTCCTCACAAGTCCTTACTCCCAGTGGCCCCACAGTGAACGGCTATGTGGCATCGGGAGGCAAACCTATGCACCCGCACGAGTCAGGGGGAGGCCACTGTCTGCTGCTCTCACAAGACCCTGAGGCCATGGGAGACAGGACTTAGCTCTGCGTCTCCAGGCTGGCCTCCAATCAGGTCTAACAGCCCCTGCACACATGCCTGAATAAGGGAATACGGGTCTCCTGAAAACGTGTCTGTGGTCAGCCGTTCCTGCTACTCTCCAGGTGTCGGTCGCAGCGGTGCTCCCACGATGCTGTGGTTCGGTCCTACCTGGCACGGTTACAGTTTTGATCCTCGCCTCCCGGATCTCTCGCTTGATTTCGGTACATTGCTGATTATTTTTAGAACTGCCATTAACATAGACTTCAATTGCTGTCCTGTTTTTCTCTTGCACTGTGAAGTGGTTGCCATGGAAACAGAATCCCGTGGGCTCTCCAGCGTCACATCAAGGCAGTTCGATGAGAGGGACGACGTCCCACCTCCTGCCTGCGTTAGTCCGGAGGTCTCTTCTCTGAAAACACACGCAAGCAGCTGCCAGGGCAGGCGTGCTCCGAGGCGTGGGCCTGGCAGCCCGTGCGAGCCGAGCACGGTGCCGAGCACAGATGTGGTCCCGAGGGCAGTCACTGGCCACGTCTCCCCTCCATGGGCCTTTCCGGAACCAGAGCACGTGGCAGAGTGCCCTGAGACCTCTGAGGGTAACGGTTAACCTACGGACATGGTCTGGAAGAAGCCGGATGGGCAAGTGCCAGTGGCAAAGGGAAAGGAGAGGCTCAGAGCCACCACGTCCCCACCACGGTGACGGCACAGGAGCACCAGAGGGAGGGCGTGCTCAACCCCAGCACAGCGAGGCCGCAGCCAAGGAGCAGCCAGGCCGCAGGGGCCACTGTCACTGCGGAGACATCAGGAGGCGGACAGATTCTGGCTAAACCGGCCTGAGCAGGTTCTGGCTGGAGGCAGGCCTTGGGAGCAAACAGCCCTGATCTGCGTCCCCCCCACGGGCGGGAGAGGAGGCAGTGGACTAGTGACAGGTGGCTGCAGTGGCTGTGGGCCGAGCCTAACCCCAAGGAGAAAGCACAGGCAGGCGTCGCCGTGGGAGAGCGAGCCCCTGCGACGTCCCCTTTGGAAACCACAGGCCCAACCGTGGGACACGGGGCCGCTGACTCGCGGCGGGAAGCAGTGCAGTTTGGGCACGAGGAGCGTGAGTGGCCTCATTACATGCACGGGCTGGGGGCCCTCCCACCCCCTTCCTGTATTACAACTGGAAGAGGGAGAGGAGCCGCGACGCAGATGCCCCAGGCAGGGCCGCGATTTAAGTAACCGTATGCCAGACCACGGTATGCTGGATTCATACGGTCCTAGAGTAAAAGCTTGCTTGGATTAAAAAAGTGAGAAGTGGGACCAGCAGATGGCATAATGGCTGTATCGCTGGACTCCCACGTGGCCGACCGTGCTTTGGACCCGGGCCTGGAAGCGTGAAACTCATGCCAGGTGCGTGGACATGTGCACCCAAAATCCCCAGAGGAAAATGGAGGAGAAGGGATTGCGGCATGGCCATGCCCCCAGGGGAGAGAGTGCACTTGCTTTCTGTCTCTCTGTCTCTGTCTCTTTAGCAAGCACACACGTCCCATAGCAAAAATCTCTCGGGAACCAGCAGTTAGCATAATGGCTATGTCGCTGGACTCCCACGTGGTCAACTGCGGTTCGTGTCCCAGACCCGGTGGCTTAGAACTCACGCCGGGCGCATGTGCATGCATGCCCAAGATCCCGAGAGGAGAATGGAGAAGGGATTGCAGCGTGACCATTCCCCTTGGGGGCTGATTTCTCGCTTTCTGTCTCTCTGTCTCTGTCTGGCTGGCGAGCGCACGCGCCCTATAGCAAAAACCTCTCAAAAAAAAAAAATCTCTCTAAAATCAGTAGAAACTTCTCTGCCATTCATCCATCCAGAATCACAGATAAAAGCAGGTGCTGATTCACCAGAAGAAAACAGTATTTCTCCCCAAACACTCCGAAGCCATCGACGCCCAATAACCCAAATTCTCGGCTGCGATTAGTGTGCTCTTACTGAGAAATTCTGTTCTCTGAGGCTCAAGACTCTGAAGCAGTGCTGTTAGAAATTACTCCGGTAGAAAGGAACCGTCCCTTGTTTGCCCCTGAACACTTGTTTTTTTTAGGATTTTTTTTTCTGTGAGGTCGGGCACTCACCAGAGAGACAGAGAGAGAGAGTGAAAACCGTCCCCTTGGGGAATGGCCGTGCCACAATCCCTCCTCCTCCCTCTCCTCCCAGATATGGACGCATGCATGTGCGCCCAGCAAGAGTTTCAAGCCACCAGGTCCAGGACTCAAACCACAGTGGACCACATGGGAGTTCAATGCCTTAACCACCACGCCACCTGCTGGCCTTGACCATCTTCACAAATGCCTGTATTGCAAAAGTTTCATTTTCCTTGGCAGACTCGTCTCTGCTGTGTTTGTGTGGTGACAGCTCGCCCCCACACCACGAGAATGCTCACAGCCGTGGGGGAGGTCAGATGAAGGGGAACCGAGGCCTCCCACCAGCCATCTTGCCTGCTATGTGAGTGAGCCACTGTGGCTGCAAATCCCTGAGAACTGGCCACCTCTGCAGACAGCGAGAGTCTCACCCCCTACTCACTGCACCTGTGGGAGACCCTAAGTGAGAACCCCTACCCAAGCAGGTCCAAGTTCTTGATCCACCAAAACCGAGGGAGAATAAATGTTCAGTGCTCTTTGAAGTCATTGCACTTGGGTAGCTGTATTTGTTACACAGCAATGGCTGACTAATACATAATCTGTGATGGAAATACTTCAGAGGCTCCCACCGGGTCCAGGAGTCAAACCACAGTCGACCATGTAGGAGTCCAGCGGTATAACCATAATGCCATGTGCTGGTTTTTGAAGCCACTCCCTGGGCCTAGGCCATCAAAGCCCCAGAGATACTCAGCACTGCTAGGTACACATGGCAGCACACGGGCGTGGCTGCACTTGACAGCCACAGACTAGGTACACGGCAGCACACGGGCGCGGCTGCACTTGACAGCCACGGACTAGGTACATGGCAGCACACGGGCGCGGCTACCCTTGACAGCAACGGACTCCAGTGAGAGCTGTGACGTCACAAGAGGTGTCAGTGACAACAGCAGTTCAGGGGAATGTCTTGACACCAGCTGGGAAAATTCAGCCCAAGGTAATTGCTCACAGTTGGTTGAAGTTCCTCAGACTTTAGTTTTACCCAGGAACAGACAAAAGAAGCTAGCTCAGGGGTCAGTGGCCAGCACCTCCTGAACTACAGGAAGCCACGCTGGCTTGGGGCTGATTGACAGGACTAGAGATCCCCTCCCAGGCCAGGGACCCCATCAGCACAGCAGCTAGGGAAGGCCCCCGTTCACCCGCTCTGCCCTCTGCCTTCCGTCCTCTGCCCTCCCGGGAGCCAAGGCGGGACAGGCGACAGGCGGCTGGTCACGGGGCAGCAGCCGGCCCCTCCCGCCCAGGAAGCGCAGCAGGGAGGTGCAGGGCCAGCAGGCTGGACGCCCGTGCAGAGGAGGAAGCACCGGAGCCAGCCGCAGTGAGTAGGGGACAGGAGCGATTGTCTCGTGGGTTTGCATAGACAGGCTCCCGGTTAAAAAGGAAAACCAAGGATCATGATAACTGCCTTCATGAGCTGTTTATTTGAGCCAAGGGACCTGCAGGAGATTTGAGGAAATTAGCATGAAACTAAAAATGAAATCTTAGTTGAAATAGAAAAAGCAATATTGGTTAGAATACACAAAGTACTAATTTAAAAGGTCTGTGTAGAAGTTTAAATTACTAGATAAATATTTACTAATAAATGAAACAGAAGTACCAAAGTGAAAACGAATGGATATCGTTTCATTACCAGTGGGCACTTCAATGTGCAGATGGCGTCTGCTGCCCCTTAAACGTAGTCTAAGACTTGTCCGCAGGTTGGTGCTGGAAGAATGTGCGCTGTCTGCTGTGCTGCCGCTCTCCCACAGAAGCACAACCCACGTAGGGAAGGCAGACTTGGCGCCAGCAGGTGGCGTGGGGATTCAGGTGAGAACATGGCTTGGTGCAGCGAGGGGAGCGTCAGGAGACCGTGGGCAGCACAAGGCGCTGACCCGCTGCCAGGCCCGCCTTGCTGGCCGACACCGTGTGTCCCCAACACTCCAATCCTGCCCTCGGAAGACACTGGAAGCACCTTCTCTCTGCCAGTTGCTTGGGAAATCCTAAAGATACAGAGATCCCAGAAGTGCTTAGACTTAGCAGACTGTGGGTATCCCTCTATGAAGAGACGTGCCCTGGCCTCCAGGGGCCACTAGGTGGCAGCCAGCGGCCTGAGCCAGCCCCTGAGCAAGTCAGGTATCTGCTCGCAGGTGCGTTCTGTGGGCATCCTAACAGCCGAGCAGTCGGAAAGCGGCTCGGTATGCCCGTGCCCGACAGCATCTAGTAAGAGTCACATCTAGGTGGGGGAAGAAAGTAGGTTTCAAGCTTTGAAGACAAGTTGTTTGCTTGTTTTCTTTTTAAGAACTATTTATTTTTAATTTTATTTATTAATTTACTTATTTTAGGGATCAGCAGTTAGCATAATGGCTATGTCACTGAACTCCCATGTAGCCAACCACGGTTCAAGTCCCAGAACCAGTGGTTTATGCCCAAGATCCCAAGAGGAGAATGGAGGAGAAGGGACTGCGGCGTGCCATCCCCCCCAGGGGTGATTTCTCGCTTTCTATCTCTCTGTCTCTCTCTGTCACACGCCCTGTAGCAAAAACCTCTCCTAAAAAGAAAAAAAAATTTTTTACTTATTTTATTTTGACCAGAGAGAGAGACACAGAGAGAGACAAGTGAAAAGGAAAACCACCAGGTCCAGGACTCGAACCATGATCGGCCATATGGGAATGTCCAGCACCTTAACGACCACGCCACCTGCTAGTCTCCAGTTGTTGTTTTTTTTTTTAATAAAACATATTTGTTGATAGAAGAAGTGGGAAGTCAGTCGATGAACAAGGAATGTGAATAGAACACAGACTGTTAATGCCCTAACCACCTGCAAGAGGGAATCTTGACTACTTTTGAAAGACCCAAAAAGTAGCACTTATTAAACACTGTGTGTTTAGAGTCACGGTTCTCAACTGCTTCTTTTGTATGTTTTTTCATCTCAGACACCCCTGAGAAGTGAACCAGGAGCAGGGCCCGGGGCAGGGTGGGAAGAGCCATGAGCAGTAACAGCAGCAACCTGGCCGTGGGCTACGCGGCCTCCTGTGTGGCCATCCTCCTGTTCGGCTCAAACTTCATCCCCCTGAAAAAATATGACACCGGTGATGGTAACAGCATTCTCTTCCTTCATCTTCAATGTTTTTAAAGGCAAAGTTCTTTTTTTTTTTTGGCCTTTTAAAAATAAATGTTGTTGACCCTGGTGCCTAATGCATAGATCTGCGAGGCTACATCTCAGGTCTGATATGTCTGCTGGTCACGGGCTTGTTACACTCCAGCAGGGAGGCCTGTGTGTGCCCGTCAGTGACTTAATTTTGAGCCCAGAGGCAGCCCTAATGATGTCAAGGTTTAAGTCACTGTGGCCCTACTCAGATCCTAATGCCACTATTTTGGTGAGGGTGGTGCTGAGCCAGGTGTCGGAGTGGAAGTTCAGGCTCTTTGGGAGAGCTCCTGACTTGGCTGTGAGTAGAAGCACGCCACGCACAAGCATGCATGGTGCACAGGCTTGGGGCTGAACAGCCCGGGTTAAATCCCAGCTCCGCAGACTCCTGGTTCTTCAGGTCTGTTTTCTCTCTCTCTAAACTGGGGTTCGTTGTGATGCAGAATGGCTGTACGAGTGGAAGGTGCCCTGTGCCTGACACGTGGGCATCCAGGAAGTTGGGGCCATTTCCATAAGGGGATCGCCCCAGTTCCCCGTGTCCGTGGAGCCACTAACCCGAGGCCTTCCCGGCAGGCATGTTTCTGCAGTGGGTGCTGTGTGCGGCCGTGTGGCTGGTGGGCCTGCTCGTCAACCTGCTCCTGCACTGCCCCAAGTTCTGGCCCTTCGCGATGCTCGGGGGCTGCATTTGGGCCACAGGTAATGTGTGATGACTCCTTCTTTCACCTTAATGCTGTGATCAAGTAACTCCCACTCCCAGTCAGAGAGAACTAGCACGACAGCAATTCTGAGTAACCCTGCTCGGTGACACAGAAGTTAACCAGCTTGTCCTCCCTCAGATGCTCAGTAAATATGTTTGGCTCATTTCCTGTCTTACTCCTCTTGGGGATTTATTTCTAAGTTCCTGGTAGAAAATGTTTCGATCTCTTCACGTATAACTCATATTATTCATGTGTCCTGTCCTTTCTTTCTCCAACATGTCTTTCAGAAAATATCACATCATAATCTCTATTAATTTTTTAGGGTTTATCCCTGAAGGTAGGCAAACAGAGTCATGTTGTCATTTCAGATGTGCTAATTAAATGAAAATCAAACTAAGCCAAAATATCTCTGCTGCTGTGTCAACACCTAATTATACGATGGGAATTTGTACCTTACTGGAAGAGTCAGGGTGTTTCCCTTCTGTTCCAAATACATCCCAGCAGAGCCCTTTCTCTTTATCAAAAGAATTCTAAATATCAAGGCTCTTTAGAAAGAATTGTGTTCAGAACAAAATTTAAGATATAAAACATGTCTTGGTTACCTGCTTCGACGGCATCTCTCTGGAGTGAATGACCGAGTGACGTTTACGAGTTGGAGGACAAAAGTGTTGACCTCAGCGTCCACCGGTGTTTACGTTGTTACACCTCTCTTACGGCCCCGAGGGACAGAGGGCCAGCGTGGGCCTCCAGCCTTGGTCTCCACACCCACCATAGTGCTTAGCTTCACCCAGCAGGTGCCACTGGCCATCAGTGGGGACACTGCAGTGCGGCCATGCAGGTCACAGCGCCCGGTAGGATGGTGGCAGCAAGGAAGGGCAGAGCTGGTGCTGCTACGAGGTTTGGCTGTGGGCGCTGAGTCGTAGGGCGCTGACCTCCCCAGTGGAGGACACCCAGAGCGACTCCTGCAACGGGGAGCACCCCTCCATCTAAGCAGTAGGTCCAGCCAGGCTGCAGCTCTGCTGGGCGTGGGGCCCCTCGTGGGCAGCCACGACCGTGGAGGTGGGTTGAGTGTGCTCCGGGAAAGTTCCCCAGGGCCATGTAACCACAGACGGGGAGACCAGGACGGGCAGCCAAAGAGGAGGAGGAGGAGAGGGCCGTGGAGACCGAAGAGGAAACCTCAGCAGACCGGTAGAAGAAGGGTTTAGCTCCGTAAAGCCATGGGACAGCCCTGGGTGCTGGCAGGAGCACCCGCCGCGGAGGCAGGATCCAGGACGCGGCCGCGAGCGTGGGCTTCTGCCCGCGTGGGCCCGGACTCAAGTCTAAGAAGGGAGTCCCACGGCTTTGTCACCATCTGGGAAGGGCCGTAGGACAGACACCTGCTGAGGATGAACACCTGTGCAGTCCGGCACTGTTGACAGATATTTCGACAGAATTTTCCCCTCAGCCTCCTCCTTTCAGGATCATATCATAAACGCAAAGCCGAAACAAAAGTGATTATCTTAAAAACTGAGAGACACTTCTTTACTAAATCTGTCCAAATCCAATGAGCTTCAGTTGCAGTTAGAATAAAAACTAATTCAAGGGACCGGCAGGTGGCATGGTGGTCAGGGTGCTGGGTTCCCACGTGGCTGACCATGACTCAGTCCCGGACCTGCCAGCTTGCTCTCGCCCTTTCCCTCTCTCTCTCTCTGTCTCTGTCTGGCCAAATTAAACAACAACAATAATAATAATAAATCGGATTAAATAAAGAAATTTTTAATAAAACTTAATTCAATATAGAAATGCGTTTTCAGTGTTGGAAATGACACTTTTTTCCTGTTTTATGTCTGCAGGAAACATCGCGGTTGTCCCAATTATCAAAACCATTGGTTTGGGCCTCGGGATCTTAATCTGGGGATCATTTAATGCCTTAACTGGCTGGGCAAGCTCCAGGTACTACATCGGAGTACTTTGGTTCAGACTTCCCACACCTGCCCCACGGACGGGCTATCACAGCTCAGACTCCCACACCTGCCCCACGGAGGACGGGGCTATCACAGCTCAGACTCCCACACCTGCCCCACGGACGGGCTATCACAGCTCAGACTCCCACACCTGCCCCACGGAGGACGGGGTTATCACAGCTCAGACTCCCACACCTGCCCCACGGAGGACGGGGTTATCACAGCTCAGACTCCCACACCTGCCCCACGGAGGACGGGGCTGAGGGTGGGGTTTGGTGAACATAGCACCTGGCTTTTCTTCCCGCAGAGATTCCAGCTGGCAAAGCATGCACGTAGAACTTGCCACGTTTTATTACTACGGTCCTAGATTCCCCACAGTGCAGATCAGTGGGCAGAGGGTTCGTGCCACAGTTCGTAAGGACATGGTTCTGAATGCCATAACCCCACATGTTAAATACTGAAAGATCAAAATCCTGAACATATAATTCTGAGGAAAAAATAGTGAAAAAAGTTCTTTAAATGACATTTACTTACATTTGCAAAGGGGAGTTATTAGAAAAACAGAAGAACAGGACACCTCGCAGGCAGCTGCGCACAGTGAGGCAGCAGCAGCCACGCGTTCTGCAAGCGCGAGGCCTCACCCTCCAGCAGCCACGCAGGTGGGGCCCCCGAAAAAGCAGAGATGGAGGAGTGTCCCACTGTGGCTGGGTGGGGCGTGCCAGCGTTAGAGTGCGGTCATCCAGAACGCCGTGACGGACGGCTGTCAAGACGAGATCGGCCAAAGCCTGCGATGGGCCACCACCACCCGTGTAGTCGCCCGAAGAGCCGAGACCAGCAGAGGTTTATCTTTCACAAATGCAGATGTGAGAAATGACAGGAAAAGTCACCTCTTCATTTCCCGAGGCCACCTCAGCTCTCGCGAACACAGAACACGGAGCAGACAGCCTCCCGCCGTGCACCGCCCCGGAGCCACAGCGACAGGCCCCGGCGACTCATGGATGTCCCTCTGCGTTTGCAGGTTTGGCTGGTTTGGGATGGAGGCAGAAGAAGTCTCCAGCCCGCTGCTGAATTACATCAGAGCAGGGCTGGCAGTCGTGAGGTAAGGGCCAGCTGCCGGTGAGGACCGAGCAACGCCCCCACACTTACAGGGGAGCACACCGGAGCTGGCTCTGATGGGGCGCTCAGTTCAGCCGTCAGCCTGTGCGGGTGACACGCCAGGACGGGGAGCGGCGGGTGGGAAGGGCGGCTGGTGAAGCGCAGCGTTAGGTCTGATGCTTCAAGCTGTGCTTTCTCCTGCCTGGCCGCTCGTCACCTAGCAATATAACAAACGCCCCTAAAATGTGCTCGCTTACAGTGCGTTCCTATTTTTGTTCATCAAAAGTGAAATACCGAGTACGGCGTGTTCCGCGGACACCACGCCGTTGATGTCCAAGCCCGTGAGTACCGCGTGGGCAATAACCTGACCAGGACTCGGGGCCCAGCCTGGCGGCAGACACGCAGTGCGGAGCTCAGGGAGGGGTTCTGCCGAAACGGCGCAGCCTTTGTCACGGCTAGCCCTAGGTCTGCGCGGCCACCCATGCATCCTCGGCCCAGCTGCTCGGCAGGCATAGAGACGCCCACTCTGCTCACAGCGGGCTCCGCAGGAACGTGACCACAGCCCGTATTCTGGAAGGAAGTGAGGCTTCTAGGATTTGGGGGGCCCTGCACATGGAGGAGGGATGTGAGAGTCACTTGGGGAGGAGTCAGGTCTGGGAGCGGCTGGGCGGGGTAGACCAGTGGGAGGCGGTGGCAGGCCAGTGAGGTCCTGGAGGAGGGGGACTTGAGTCTTGCTGGACTCGCCCTTGCTGCCAGCCTTCCAGCTCAAGGTAGGGACGGACCTGAGTGAAACCTGACTGACAGCAACGAAGTCAAAGACGGTTTCTTACCCCCTACGAAAGCAGCAGGAGTGAGCCAAACGCTTGCCTTTACCTGCAGGGGTGCGTTCCAGGACCCCCAGTGGACGCCTGTGCTGGCTGGTCCCCACCCCTCCACACACAGTCCTTAAATAAGGGTTTGGGGTGTGTTCGGCTTGCCATCCACGTTAGGCCACTAGTATTAGGTTTCTGAGGACTGGAAAGTCAGCCACAGGTCCTGGACTGCGCAGCGGTCATGCCTCTGCCCCCACGTGTGAGGGTCAGCCATGTAATGTGCTCTTACATCTGCAGCTCAGCTGCTGCTACGTGCCTACCCGGCGGGCGGGTCATGTACAGAGTGTGGACAGGGGAGGTTCATGTCCCGGGCAGGAAGGCGCAGGCTGCAAGATTTTTTTTTTTTTTTTTTGGAGAGGTTTTTGCTATAGGGCGCGTGCGCTCGCAAGACAGACAGAGAGAGACAGACAGAAAGCGAAAAATTACCCCCCAGAGGGGATGGCCACGCCATAACCCCTTCTCCTCCGTTCTCCTCTCGGGATCTTGGGCATGCACGCACACACGCTCAGCGTGTGTTTTAAGCCATCGGGTCCAGGACGTGAACTGCCGTCGACTACATGGGAGTCCAGCGACATAGCCATTACGCTAACTGCTGGTCCCAAGCTACAAGATTTGATTACGCTACCTAGAATAGTGCACGATTTGAAACTAAGACGTGTTTATTTCTAGAATTTTCCATGTAGCATTTGAGCCACAGTTGACTGCAGGTAACTAAGACTGTAGAAATTAAAACTGTGGTGGAAGAGCAGGGGGAGACGTACAATCAGTAGGAGAATTTGAATTTCCTCATATTTTGCTGACTTGGAATATAGTATAATCTTGAAATGTGGCTGGAAATGCTTAATTAACTACTTTGGTAAAAAAATAAAAGTGAATAGGGAAAATGCCTGCTGGTCTGGGCCTTCCATAGTAGGAGAGTCTGCAGTCTCCTTGGTGTGGATCTCTGTACAAATCCTGAGGTTACTGAAATATGCAAGTGCAGGCCAGCAGGTGGCCTGATGGCCGAGGCGCTGGACCCCCATAACCAACCACAACCTGAGTCCTGGACCCAGAGGCTTGAAGCTCACTGCAGGCACATGTGCATGCATGGTCAAACTCCCGAGAGAAAGGGGAGCAGCAGGTGTAGTGTTTACATTGCTAGACTACCATATAGCCGACCGTGGTTCAAGTCCTGGGCCCAGAGGCTTGAAACTCATGCCAGGCATGTGTACCCATATGCCCAAAATCTCAAGAAGAGAATGGAGAAGAAGGGATTGTGGTGTGACCATCCCTTCGGGGGTTGATTTCTTGCTTTCAGTCTCTCTGTCTCTATCTCTCCAGCAAGTGCACACACCCTATAGCAAAGATTTCTCCCTCCCCCCCCCAAAAAAAAAACTCCCAAGAGGAGACTGGAGGAGAAAGGATGGAAAGGATGGTGGCATGGCCACACACACACACACACATACACACACACACACACACACACACACACCCCGTGGTGTTTTCTTGCTTTCTTTCTCTCCAGTGAGCTCACACACCCTATAGCAAAAATCTCTCGCGGGGTGGGGGTGGGGTAAACATATGCAAATGAAACACTGACGTTTCATAGCAACGACTTTTGTTAGAGCTAATGGCTATTTCACCATAGCCATATATTAAACTGTGAAAATCCTAAGTGGAGACTGACCAGCTGCCAACCCATTCCGGAAAAGGAAAAGAGTGAGAAGCCGTAAGTCAGAGACCCTGACGCAGAGGCCACGGGCCCCATGTGAGGTGTGTTTGGGAGAACCTTCTGTCACAGTGCGATTGTCAACTGAGTGCGCCTTTATTTTGCTTTGTGCCAATGTTTCCCACAGGTGGTCAGCCAAACTCAAGACCCCTGCTCCTGGGTGGACAGGCTCCCCACGGCCCACCGCCGCCCAGTGTAAGGAGCTCGCTTGCTGTAGGCCGCCAGTCCCGTGCTTGCTATAGCGAGGGTCCCGGAGTGGGGGCGCTCACCTGAGCTCAGGAAGGACACGGGAAATCATAGCGTTTAGACGAGAAGCGAAGGCGTCATGTCAGCCCGCAAGTACCTGCAACTCCTTAGAGCTGGCTTCCGTGTCCCTCCACCCCCGCAGAGGCAGCCACACCGTCACCTGGGCGATGACAGCTGGTGGTGATCATCACCGTAGTAGCTTCGTAACCGGGCTGCCACCCCGCCCTCACACCGGGCTCCCCAGGGCAGTTCCTTGACCCCCAGGCCCGGTACTTGAGACAGAGCGATGGTCCCCACGTGACTGCTCTGGCCCGCGTTCCGAAGTGTCCCTCAGTTATGACCCCTTTTCTGTGTTTGCTGTCAACATTGCCTTGGGCCACGATTCACGGTGGCCTACTACTCATTTTCAAGGGGCTGCAGTCTCGCCGTGGCATCTGGAATACTCTATGGGTCTACGTTCGTGCCAGTCATATACATCAAGGACCACAGCAGACGGAACGACAGCATGTACGCTGGGGCGAGCGAGTACGGTGAGAGCTCAGGGACTGTCTGTGAGCGTGGAGGTGTGTGGTGATGGAGATGGGACTGTCTGAGCGTGGACACGTGGTGGTGATGGAGGTGGGACTGTCTGTGTGGACACGAGGTGGTGATGGAGGTGGGACTGTCTGTGTGGACACGAGGTGGTGATGGAGGTGGGACTGTCTGTGTGGACACGAGGTGGTGATGGAGGTGGGACTGTCTGTGTGGACACGAGGTGGTGATGGAGGTGGGACTGTCTGTGTGGACACGAGGTGGTGATGGAGGTGGGACTGTCTGTGTGGACACGAGGTGGTGATGGAGGTGGGACTGTCTGTGTGGACACGAGGTGGTGATGGAGGTGGGACTGTCTGTGTGGACACGAGGTGGTGATGGAGGTGGGACTGTCTGTGTGGACACGAGGTGGTGATGGAGGTGGGACTGTCTGTGTGGACACGAGGTGGTGATGGAGGTGGGACTGTCTGTGTGGACACGAGGTGGTGATGGAGGTGGGACTGTCTGTGTGGACACGAGGTGGTGATGGAGGTGGGACTGTCTGTGTGGACACGAGGTGGTGATGGAGGTGGGACTGTCTGTGTGGACACGAGGTGGTGATGGAGGTGGGACTGTCTGTGTGGACACGAGGTGGTGATGGAGGTGGGACTGTCTGTGTGGACACGAGGTGGTGATGGAGGTGGGACTGTCTGTGTGGACACGAGGTGGTGATGGAGGTGGGACTGTCTGTGTGGACACGAGGTGGTGATGGAGGTGGGACTGTCTGTGTGGACACGAGGTGGTGATGGAGGTGGGACTGTCTGTGTGGACACGAGGTGGTGATGGAGGTGGGACTGTCTGTGTGGACACGAGGTGGTGATGGAGGTGGGACTGTCTGTGTGGACACGAGGTGGTGATGGAGGTGGGACTGTCTGTGTGGACACGAGGTGGTGATGGAGGTGGGACTGTCTGTGTGGACACGAGGTGGTGATGGAGGTGGGACTGTCTGTGTGGACACGAGGTGGTGATGGAGGTGGGACTGTCTGTGTGGACACGAGGTGGTGATGGAGGTGGGACTGTCTGTGTGGACACGAGGTGGTGATGGAGGTGGGACTGTCTGTGTGGACACGAGGTGGTGATGGAGGTGGGACTGTCTGTGTGGACACGAGGTGGTGATGGAGGTGGGACTGTCTGTGTGGACACGAGGTGGTGATGGAGGTGGGACTGTCTGTGTGGACACGAGGTGGTGATGGAGGTGGGACTGTCTGTGTGGACACGAGGTGGTGATGGAGGTGGGACTGTCTGTGTGGACACGAGGTGGTGATGGAGGTGGGACTGTCTGTGTGGACACGAGGTGGTGATGGAGGTGGGACTGTCTGTGTGGACACGAGGTGGTGATGGAGGTGGGACTGTCTGTGTGGACACGAGGTGGTGATGGAGGTGGGACTGTCTGTGTGGACACGAGGTGGTGATGGAGGTGGGACTGTCTGTGTGGACACGAGGTGGTGATGGAGGTGGGACTGTCTGTGTGGACACGAGGTGGTGATGGAGGTGGGACTGTCTGTGTGGACACGAGGTGGTGATGGAGGTGGGACTGTCTGTGTGGACACGAGGTGGTGATGGAGGTGGGACTGTCTGTGTGGACACGAGGTGGTGATGGAGGTGGGACTGTCTGTGTGGACACGAGGTGGTGATGGAGGTGGGACTGTCTGTGTGGACACGAGGTGGTGATGGAGGTGGGACTGTCTGTGTGGACACGAGGTGGTGATGGAGGTGGGACTGTCTGTGTGGACACGAGGTGGTGATGGAGGTGGGACTGTCTGTGTGGACACGAGGTGGTGATGGAGGTGGGACTGTCTGTGTGGACACGAGGTGGTGATGGAGGTGGGACTGTCTGTGTGGACACGAGGTGGTGATGGAGGTGGGACTGTCTGTGTGGACACGAGGTGGTGATGGAGGTGGGACTGTCTGTGTGGACACGAGGTGGTGATGGAGGTGGGACTGTCTGTGTGGACACGAGGTGGTGATGGAGGTGGGACTGTCTGTGTGGACACGAGGTGGTGATGGAGGTGGGACTGTCTGTGTGGACACGAGGTGGTGATGGAGGTGGGACTGTCTGTGTGGACACGAGGTGGTGATGGAGGTGGGACTGTCTGTGTGGACACGAGGTGGTGATGGAGGTGGGACTGTCTGTGTGGACACGAGGTGGTGATGGAGGTGGGACTGTCTGTGTGGACACGAGGTGGTGATGGAGGTGGGACTGTCTGTGTGGACACGAGGTGGTGATGGAGGTGGGACTGTCTGTGTGGACACGAGGTGGTGATGGAGGTGGGACTGTCTGTGTGGACACGAGGTGGTGATGGAGGTGGGACTGTCTGTGTGGACACGAGGTGGTGATGGAGGTGGGACTGTCTGTGTGGACACGAGGTGGTGATGGAGGTGGGACTGTCTGTGTGGACACGAGGTGGTGATGGAGGTGGGACTGTCTGTGTGGACACGAGGTGGTGATGGAGGTGGGACTGTCTGTGTGGACACGAGGTGGTGATGGAGGTGGGACTGTCTGTGTGGACACGAGGTGGTGATGGAGGTGGGACTGTCTGTGTGGACACGAGGTGGTGATGGAGGTGGGACTGTCTGTGTGGACACGAGGTGGTGATGGAGGTGGGACTGTCTGTGTGGACACGAGGTGGTGATGGAGGTGGGACTGTCTGTGTGGACACGAGGTGGTGATGGAGGTGGGACTGTCTGTGTGGACACGAGGTGGTGATGGAGGTGGGACTGTCTGTGTGGACACGAGGTGGTGATGGAGGTGGGACTGTCTGTGTGGACACGAGGTGGTGATGGAGGTGGGACTGTCTGTGTGGACACGAGGTGGTGATGGAGGTGGGACTGTCTGTGTGGACACGAGGTGGTGATGGAGGTGGGACTGTCTGTGTGGACACGAGGTGGTGATGGAGGTGGGACTGTCTGTGTGGACACGAGGTGGTGATGGAGGTGGGACTGTCTGTGTGGACACGAGGTGGTGATGGAGGTGGGACTGTCTGTGTGGACGCGAGGTGGTAATGGAGGTGGGACCGTCTGAGTGTGGACACGTGGTGGTGATGGAGGTGGGACTGTCTGAGTGTGGACGCGAGGTGGTGATGGAGGTGGGACTTTCTGTGAGTGTGGACGCGAGGTGGTGATGGAGGTGAGACTGTGAGCGTGGACACGTGGTTGTGATTGGAGGTGCACCTGTGACCTTTCTCGTTGTGAGGCATGAGTGTGAAAGGCTTTGAGACTTAACGGAATAACGGAGGTTGTCTGTGAGCTTACAAATACTAGCAGCCTTAGTCCTCATTTCAACTAGCTGGATCCTTTATTTTTTTAATTTTGCCAGAAGGCTCACAATTAGAGAACACTCCAGACAGTGAGGGGAAGTAGAACACTCTCCATGGGCATGGTCATGCTGCCATCCCTTCTCCATTTCTGCTTTTGTGGTTTGGGGCACACACGCACACATGCCGGGCGTGAGTTTCAAGCCGCCAGGTCTAGGACCCGAACCGTGGTCTACGAGGTGGGAAGACCTTAACCACCACACCACCTGCTGGTGTTCCTTCCCCTTTGTGCTTAGTCCCGGGCAGCGCGCCAACCTTCGGCTTGTTCTTCTGTTAAGATTTTATAGCAGCCCTCTCCTATGTGTCTGGGTAAACGCCGGGTAAACACCGGGTAACAGAGAGGACGCAGGATGAGAGGAACGGCGGCGGCCGGGCACATCTGACCCGCACCACCTCTGATTCTGGAAACGGCGTGCAGTCGGCGCTCAGGCTCCCGGTGGCCGCGAGGAGCGGCAGACCCGCCCGCTCGGGGGACACCGATGAAAACCGCCACTTGTGCGGGAGCCCGGCTGTGCTTGGCACCGGGACGCCACCTCCAGTGCCCGGCAGGCTCGGCCCACACGGGAAGAACGAGCTCGCGGAGGGCTTCGTGGGGCAATTCGGAGTCTGGGGAACGCACTTCCCTCCAGCTTCTTCAGAAATAACTGGGGCTTGCTTTTATTTCACGGCTTAGCAAGCGTGTGTGTGGGATGCTCTGCTCTAAGCGCTTCGATGCAGTCACCCCTCAAATGCCACTATTACCCGCATCTACGGTTGAGGAAACGAACACCCGCCTGGTGAGCGCGGAGCGAGGACTCGCAACCGGGCGCTTGTGCCTTTGGTCCCCACGTTGCACGGGCTCTGTGGGGTCCGTGTCCCTCAAGCTTCCCCATACGTGGCCAGTTCTCTGTCAGCGTGTTCAGGGACAGACGCCGAGCCTGTGGACACTCCCTGCCGGGAGCCCGCTCCGCCCACCGGGGTGCTGGGCTCTCTCAGACGAGCACCAGCGGCCCTCAGCCCGGCGTCGGCTCAGAGGGAACAGTGCAGCAGAGCCACCTGGGCGGCCGCTCCCCGGAGGCCTCCTGTTTGGCTGTCGTCTGCGGCAGAGGTGCTGGCCCCCCGATGCCCGGACACAGAGGTGGCGTGCCTGCCCCACCACGGTCTCCCTGAGCATTTACTACCCTTACTGTAGTAAGTTTATCTCTTCTATGAGAAAGCGAGACAGAGACAGAGACACAGACACAGGCACCTAGGGGGTCTCCGGGCCACGGCCCTCACAGGCTCGCCAGCCAGGGCACGGACACAGACCCCGCCCCATGTGTGTGGGGAGGCCCTGGACGTGAACCCAGGCCATCCCGTGTGGACTCAGCACCATGGGGCCACATGTGACTGCCACCACCCTGCTCCTGAGCACTGAGGCTCACGGGGGAGGCGTGGACTTGTCACGTGACGCTCATCGCTTCTCGTTCCACGTCCCGCCATGACCACGGCAGTGGGCCTTCTGGAGGCTCTTGCACGGGTTCTTCACTACCTAATGGTCCCGGTGTCAGTAGTTGGTTAGAATTCCGCATGACGGTGTGGGGACCAGGACGGTGGGCACCTGCGTGGTCTTTCCTGTCGGGGTGCATCGGTGGGTGTGTTCTCTGAACCCACGGCGCGGCGGCTGGGCCGGTCGGGGCGCCCTCCCAGACTACCCTGTGCTTGCAGACCTAGACTACGTCTTCGCGCACGTCAGCGGCATCTTCCTCACAAGCACGATCTACTTCCTGGCCTACTGTGCTGCCATGAGAAACAGCCCCAAGCTGTACCCCGAAGCCGTGCTGCCAGGTAGGGGCGCTCCGCTGCACTGACAGCTGTTCCCGCCCCTTTCTGCACCTTGTAGTCTGGGCGCCAAGCCAACCTGTGCATGTCCACGAGGGGCTTTGGAAAGTTTACGGAAAACAGAATTAAAGTATAGGTCTATTGCGGTACAAACTATTTCTAAATCCACGCATAGCCTTTCCACGGTACATCGTCCCCGCCGGCCTTCCTAGGCCCTCGTGTGGGTGTCACATGTCGGTCCCCCAGTTGCTTTGTCACAACTCACCACATCTTAATCCTTACCAGCCATGACACCGGGTAGGAAAGGCTGGTCGTTATTGGGAAAACAGTTTGGCCAAAAAGTAAGGAAACTCTAAGAGTTCGACGCACGGGCTTCGGGCCTTAGTCCATCAGGCACTGGTAAGTAGACAGACAGAAAGCTTCATCTGTACTTGGTGGTTTGCCACTGTCCAACTTGTAACACAGACCACACGTGAAAATCCAGGATAAAACAAAGCCTAAAGTCGCACCTACATTCTCGGAGCCGGCCGATGGCACCGCGTGCCAGCTTACAGAAAACGGGAGGGTGCCCACTGAAGGCCCTGCCCCGCCGGCCCGGCCCAGCCGTGTGTGCACTTAGACAGCAGGCGTGCTATAGCGTGACGGGTCCCACGCCCTCCCTGCGTCTGGTTTGGGTGAGTGGGGTACGCAGACAACCTTCGACCCCGCGACTTTCCCGGGCCCGCCGCCGTCCAGCTCGACGGCCGCGCTGAGAACGTGTCACTGGAGTGAAAGCACTGCGTCAGCCGCAGCGTCGAGAGTGGCCGGACACCCGGTGACGTGACCGTGAAACACGGACAGCGATGTCCACGGCAGGGCCCTGAAACAGACCACGGAGGCTGACGTGCGCCTTGCATGGGAGCCTCCCGGAGGACCGAGGCCGGCTGCGTGCTGTGTGTTTCAGGGTTCCTGTCAGGGGTGCTCTGGGCTGTCGCCACCTGCTGCTGGTTCGTCGCCAATCACTCGCTGAGCGCCGTGGTCAGTTTCCCGATCATCACCACGGTGAGTAGCTGAATCACTTCCCACATCCGCCTCACCTTCCCGAAGCTCCCGGGAGGCCTGAACACGCCCCGCGCTTGGCTTTAGGCTGTTAGTGGGTGCAGGTGGCAGGGGCAGGCTCCAGCTCTGCGTCCTGCCTACCCCTCTGAGCGACACGGAGGGGAGAGGTGACAGGGCCCCCAGCAGGCGAGCCTCCTCGGGCCTCCTGGTTGCTGTCTGGGCAGGACGGGCGTCTGAGGAGGTGGGAACAGGGCTGTGCTGCCGTGGCCACCTGTGTGGCCTCTCCTCCTCACGCTGCTCAAGGCACCTCTACACACGGGGACCATGCGGTCCCACCCTCCAAGACCTGGCACTGCCTTTTCAGTAACGCTGGATTTTCATAAAACCTTTTTCTTTAATGTAAGATTCACACATACCCAACGCCCTGCATCAACACCAAGAACGTGGCCGGCCGTATTTATCAGAGGAACGTGTCTGTGAAGTCCCAGGGTGCCGTGGTCCCTGGTACACATGCTTCCACACTGACGCACCCAGGGGTCCCTGGTACGCATGCTTCCACACTGACACACCCAGGGGTCCCTGGTACGCACACTTCCACACTGACACACCCAGGGGTCCCTGGTACACACCCACTTCCACACTGACATGCCCAGGGGTCCCTGGTACGCACACTTCCATGATGACACACCCAGGGGTCCCTGGTACAATTCCATGCTGACATGCCCAGAGGTCCCTGGTACACACACTTCCACACTGACATGTCCCAAGGGTCCCTGGTACACACACTTCCACGCTGACATGTCCCAGGGGTCCCTGGTACACGCACTTCCACGCTGACATGTCCCAGGGGCCCCTGGTACACACACTTCCACGCGGATATGTCCCAGGGGTCCCTGGTACATGCACTTCCACGCTGACATGTCCCAGGGGCCCCTGGTATACACACTTCCACGCTGATATGTCCCAGGGGTCCCTGGTACCGGCCCTTCCACGCTG